CCGACACCGCTCCCGCCGCTTCCTCCTGCCAAACCTGAGCTGTCAGCACACCCACTATCCCTCAGCTCCCCCGTGCCCCCTAAAACCCCTGTCCCCTCACACCCCCTATATTCCTTCACACCCCCCATATCCCCTCACACCACCCATTTCCCCTCACCCCCGTGTTCCCTCATAACCTCTGCCTGTCACAAACCTATTATATCCCCTCTCACCCCTCACACCCCCGTATTCCCTCACCCCCGCAGTGTCCCGTCCCCTCCCTCTCCCCTCCCCGGACCGTTCCCGCCAACCCGTGCCACCCGCCCCCGGCAGGGGGCGCCATCGCCCCGCGCTGAGGGCTCCGGGCCCAGGGCCCCGCGGTCGGTCGGTCGGTCCCTGCGCTGCCGGTGCCGCCGCTGCCGCCGCTCTTCCCTCCCGCCCCGCCGGCCCGCCCGCCCCCCCCGCCGAGTGTCCCTGGCCCCTCAGCGGGAGCGGGACGGCGATCCCGGCGGGCACACACCGCGCCGGGCGGGCGGGCGGCATCCCGGCGGGCGGGCAGGCAGCGCGGCGGGCAGCTGTGCGCGGAGAGCGCGGGAGGGCCCCGCGGCTCCGCCCGCCGTGCGCGGGCCGGTGGCGGTGCCGGGACCAGGATCGGGATCGGGGCCGGGATCAGGGCCGGGATCGGGGCCGGGGATGCGGCTGCAGTGCGAGGTGGAGGTGCTGAGCCAGCTGCTGCCCAGCTGCGGACTGCAGGGCCGCGGCCGCGCGGCGCGGGCGCTGGTGTCGCTGGGGCGGCCGCCGGGCGGTGGCGGTGCCGGTGGCGGTGCCGGTGGCGGTGTTTACCTGATGGTGTGCACGGCGCGGGACCGCTCCGGGGCCCGCTACAAGGTGGGCACGGCGGGGCCGGGCGGGGCGCGGGGAGTGCCCGGGGCGGGCGCTGACCGGCTGTGCCCGCAGGTGCAGCAGAACGTGGAGCGGCTCTTCACGAGGTTCGTGGAGCAGGGAAAGGCCACGGTGCGGCTGCGGGAGCCCGCGGTGGATCTGCGCCTCAGCAAGGTGCGTGCGGGACCGGGGAGACCCGGGGGGCTCTGGCACCGCGGGACGGCGAGGGATATTAAATCCCACCTCCTTCCCCCCCTGCCATGGGCAGGGACACCTTCCACTAGCCCAGGTGGCTGCCCCTGGATCCCTGGAAGTGTCCAAGGCCAGGTTGGACGGGGCTCGGAGTCAGTTATTTATAAATAATTTCCCTGCTGGCCCAGCCAGAGCTGTGTGTGGCCAGAAGCACTGATTTAACCTGCCCTGAAGCCTTCCACCTTCCTTTTGTTGGATTTAACCCCAGCTTCCATCCTTTTCCTTCCTAGCTACTTCTAGACATGCTCTCAGCTTTTAGTGCTCTGAATTCCCCCTGTGTGTGCTCACAACTGTCCCTGTATCCTGTTGCATTTTAGGGTGATCCCAGCGAGTCGGGTCTTTTTTCAGTGCTTTATTTTCAGCTGTGAATTCAGTGCTTTGTCCCTGTCCCGGGTGCTGCAGCACAGTTTGATCTGGATTATTCCAAGAGGTCATGCTTGTTCTTAAACTCTGTAAACAGGGCTGTTCCCTCCCTGTCCCCTTCCACTGCCCAGCTGAGTTAGCAGCTCCTGATGCACACAGGGAAGTGTCAGGAACAAACCAGCCGGGGGATAATGAGCTTGTCCCTGCCCCTCTGTGTTGTCCTGCAGGCAAATGCCAGCGATTTGAAGACTTTCCTGGCAGCCCTGAGACTGGCTCACCAAGGCAGCGACGCCGGAGCTCTGCCTCTCTCCACCCTGGTCCCGGCAAAGAACTCGGAAGTGGAGAAACCCAAGACGAAAATGATCATAACTTCCAGGAGGGACTATCCCCTCACCAAGGGCTTCCCTCACTCCCTGGAGCACCTGCAGACCTCCTACTGCAAGCTGGCCCGGGTGGACACGCGCGTGCTGTGCCTGAGGAAGCTGCGGAAGCTGGACCTGAGCCACAACCACATCAAGCAGCTGCCGGCGACCCTGGGGGACCTGGCGTGCCTGCAGGAGCTGGACCTGCACGACAACCACCTGGAGTCCTTCGGCGGGGCCCTGTGCCGCTCCGGCCTGCAGAGATCCCTGCAGAGCCTGGACCTGAGCCAGAACCGGCTGCGGGCGCTGCCGCTGGAGCTGTGCGAGCTGCGGGGGCTGCTCAGCCTCAAGCTGGACGACAACGAGCTGGAGCGGCTGCCCTGCAGGGTGGGGCAGCTCGGCCGCCTGCGCTTCCTGTCGGCCGCGCGCAACCGCCTGCCCTTCCTGCCCTGCGACTTCAGGAGGCTCTGCCTGGACAGCCTGGACCTCTTCGGGAACCCTTTCGAGCAGCCCAACCCGCTGGCGCCCAACATCCAGCTGAAAATCCCGCTGACTTTGTTGGAGTGTGCCGCCAGAGCCACCGTCAATCACAGGTGAGGGGCACACCCCGCCCTGCTCCCTTCCCTCCTGGCCACTCCCACCTTTCCTCGCTCGGCTGTTCCTTTTCCCCTCCGTGCCTGCTGCTCATCACCTGTTACAATTCACAAGGTTCGAATTCCTCCGAATTCCACTCGGGAAATCGTCAGGGCAAGGCAGGAAGTTGGTGCTTTGGAAGCATTCAGGCAAAGCTAGGGGTTGAAATGCTTTTACCCCACTAGAGGGGGGATAAACAGAATATTTTTGGCCAGCTTTGGGGAAGAGAATCGGTTCTCCAGCCCTGACCCACTTCTGCTGCAGAAGAACCTGCCAGAGGTTCTCCTGAAGCTCCTGATTTCCTTTGGTGTCAGAGTGAGGGTATTCTGGCTTATTCAGAGAATCCCAGGTCTGAGCTAATTCTGAAATTATTATTTCACCAAATAAATATCACCCTGCTGGGCTGCTGTTTGTGATCAGCTCCCTCCTCTTCCCTCACACCACGTCCACAGCTCCACCCACGATCCTTGGCATACCAGGAGCCTTCAGGTACCATCTGCTGCTGCTCCCACCCTGCTCCGGGTGGAAAGGGAGCACAAAGACGGGAATTTGGCACAGAGGAGGGTGAGAGACAGGCTTGAAGTGTCCCTGATCTCCATCCTGTGCCCGCTCCTGCCTTGGGGGTGGGGAGTGCCCCACAAACTCGGGATGATTGCACAGAAATCTGCACCAAAGGCATCCACGGGCACACCCTGAAGGGAGCTGAGCCACCACATGTTCTGGGCCAAAAACACCCACTTCTGACCTTGCTGATTTTATAATTAACCCCCATGTGTCTCTTTTTCCCAAGGTTATGTAAACTGCAGTGGGTTTGAAGTAAATGTTAAGGCTGTTTTAGAGGTTTTCTGGAGGATTCAATCCCTCAGCACTGGTCAGGTTTTAGTGCTCAGTTCCTGTGAAAACCTTGAGAAAAGGACAAAACAGAAGGAGGGAAGATGCAGAATAAACGTTTGGAAATCTTTGTTCTGGGAAAGTACCAGTCTTTGTTCTGGGAAAGTACCAAAGCTGTGATTATGTTCTTCCTGACGGGAAAAAAGGGTGTCCAGAAATTAACGTGGTGAAAAAAAAAACCAAACCCTCAGGAGTCTTAGCTGGTATGGGGAAAGGATTGGGAATGTGGAGGTGTAGGCAGGATGTGAGTCAGTGGGATCTGAGCCTGGAGTGCCTGCTGGGCACTGCTGATACCCACACTCCCGCTGAACCTGGCAAAATACTTGAGGAGAATCATTGCCTTTGCACCCCAAACTCGCCCCCTGCTCTGCTGTGGATTTAGGAAGAAGCAATTCCTGCTCCTGACTCTGGATGTCATTGCTGACACAACAAATGGAGAGAGCTGTGTGTCAGGAGAACCTTCCTTTAAGGCCTGCAGTGTAGCCCTGCTGCAAAAAGGCTCATTTTGTCTCCTCTTTCCTCTGAGTTGTGTTTTTTTCATGTTACTACCACGCTGTGGAAGAGAGAGAGGAGTAAAGTGGGGATGCTGTGTGAGGCCAGGGGTGGAACTCAGTGATCTCCCTGGGTGGTGTGAGGGAAGGACAGAATGTGCCCAGTTGTCTCATTGTTCCTAATCTTCTTTTAATTCCCTAATTCTCATTATTCCTAATCTTCTCTTTAATTCCCTGACTGGCTGTGCCCCAGGCTGTCAGGAGGGCTGTTGTCTCCCTGTTCAGTGTCTCCAGGGAGTTCAGTTCTTGGCACTCAGGGGTGGGTAAAGGGGGTGCATGTTTTCAGTGACTGTCTTGGGAAGCGGTATTTAATTCCTAACCAGTCCAAAGTCCCAGATTTTCCGTGTCTGTGCTCACGGAATGTCGTCTCTCCCAGCTGGTGCCTGTGGCCTGTCGCTGGTTTTGAGTGACACGGGTTCCTTTTGCAGTGAATTCACACCCGCTCCTCTCATTCCACAGAATCCCTTACAGCTGCCACCTCCTTCCTTCCCACCTGTGTGAGGATCTGGCAGTGGCCAAAACCTGCCAGTGTGGAAGTGCCTGCCTGAGCAGCTTCATCCAGATCACGGTGACCATGAACCTGCACCACGTGGCTCACACCGTGGTGCTCGTGGACAACATGGGAGGGACGGACGCTCCCGTCCTCTGCTACTTCTGCTCCCTGCACTGCTATTCCCAGTTCCTGGACAGGCACCTCCAGAGCAACAGGTGACCGCTGGTGGGTGCCAGAGCCGTGCCCAGCAGAGATCAGACCTCCCTCTGGCAGAGAGGGGACCCTGTGCCTGCCTCTCCCTCCCCTCTGGGATGTCCTTGCGGTGGGAATGCCGGGCATGTGGAGCTCCAACACTCCCTCCCTGCAGCGTCATTTGCTTTCCTCCTCCCGTTCCCAGGCTTTGCTCGGAGCGTCCCAGCGGTTTTCCCAGTTCTGTGGAGTAAGGGGTTCCTTCTCGGGAGTTTATCCCAGCCTTACCCCAGGGGATGCCCTGAGCTCTGCCCGTGCACAGTGACAGCGCTGGCTGCGGCGCTGGGCTCGGCTCTTCCCGACTCCTCTCTACGTGGAGGAGAAATTACGGCCCAAACCGGTTACGTAATTCCAGGTGCTGCTTTTTTTTTAAAAGGTTCTCTTACAACATTCCCACTTCCAGCAGGGACCAGCATTGCTGGTTTTTTTTTACCAGAGCAAATGGGGTTTTTTTGGGGGGGTTTATCTCTTTGTGATACGAGAAACGTCTTTTCCTCTAAGTATGTGCCAGAAACTTTGTTCCTTAACTCTTTTGTTCTAACAGTTCTTGAATTTCTTTCACTGTGTCGACTTATTAAATTTTGAAACCCTTCTATTGACTTGTGGTTTGTGATTTCTCTAAGGAGTTTTTATTCCGGGGATTTCCCTGGTGAAGTCACTGAAATAACTGGGAGTTTCCACAGGCCCTTATTTCATGTCTGGTCCATGGCTGGGCTTGGAACAAAAGTCCCTCGAGAAGCTTTTAGCCATCCCTGGGATATGTGATGGCTTGGAGGGAGCAGGGTGCAGTTATTTTTGAAGTGGTGTTCAGTGCCTGCCAGGGGAGGTTTAGATTGGATATCAGGGAAAATTCCTCCGGGGAAAGGGTGGTCAACATTGGATCAGGCTGCCTCCATCAGGGAGATGGTGGAGTCCCCACCCCTGGAGGGATTTCAGAGCCCTGGGGATGTGGCACTTGGGGCCATGGGGCAGTGGTGGCCTTGGCAGCGCTGGGGAATGGTTGGAGTCAGTGATCTTAGTGGTTTTTCCCAATTTTAATGATTCCATGAATCACTCCCACCTAACCAGATGCCAACCAGAGCTAATCCCTGATGCTGCTGCAAAGGGAGAGAGCTCTGCCCGCAGCAACCTGGAAATTACTCACGTGGAAAAGCCCCTTTTAGGTGGAGCACGTGATTAAAGAGGAGGAAGGTGGAGGAGGCACAGAAATTCAGCCCCCCGTGGGACTCCTCAGGAATCTCATCTGCAGATGTGGGGGGTCTGTGCAGAGGGTTGGAGCCTCCTGGGAAGCCAGGGGTGCTGGGAGAGGAGGAACCCACCCGTGGGACCCTCCAGGGATGCCAGCTGTGCTCCCCTGAAGGGAATGTCATCCCCAGACTGGCCTGGCTCACTGCCCTCGCTCCGTTTTATGTTATATATTATTCTTGCCAACCCAGGGGGATTTTCTCACCTTGTTCTTACATTTCTAGAGTTATTTTATTTTACTGTATATTATTCTTGCCAATCCAGGATGGTTTCCTTACCTTGTTCTTGCAATTCTGGAATTATTTTACTCTTGTGTGTTACTCTTGAAAGCTCTGGAATCGTTTTACGCTTGCGATTCTAGAATTAATTAATCTTGCAACCCTGGAGCAAATGTCTCAATTCTTGTCATGCTACAATGGTTTTTTTTCCTCTTAATCTTTTCAAATCTACGATTATCTTAATCTTTCAAACCTACAATTATTTTACCTTATTCTTTCGATCCCACCAGGATTTTAATCTTATTCTTTCAACTCTACAGTGATTTTATCTTATGTTTAGAACCCCGGAATGATTTTATCTCATTCCTAGAACCGTTTTCTCACCTTATCCTCGCCACTCCAGCACGATTTTTCCTGGGTTATTTTCCACGCACAGAATGACTCGCTCTCGTGTATCCCTGTCTGGGTGCAGGCCGGTTTTTCCAGAGTTATTCCCGCTGTTCCCCCGACCCCTCAGGATTTCTCTCCCCTCACACCTCCAGCTCCGCCCTCACGGTCCAGGCCCCGCCCCCTTTTCCGGCGCCGCCCAATCGGAGCGCGGCGCGGCGGAAGCTCGCGCCGTGTTGATTGACGGCTGCGGCGGCCAATGGCGGGGCGGGGGCGGGCGCGGCGGCGGCCAACGGCGCGCGGGAACGTGTGCGCGCGGGGCGGCGGCGGCGCGCGCGCGCTGGGAGCGGGAGCGGCGGCGGCGGCGGCGGCGGGAGCGGCGGGAGCGGGGCCGCCGCCGCCGGGAACATGCGGCTGCGCGTCTACAAGCGCAAGGTGCTGCTGCTGGCCGCCGCGCTGGCGCTCTGCGCGCTGGCGCTCTGGGGCACCGGCGGCGGCGGCGGCCGGCGGCGGCAGCAGCAGCAGCAGCAGCAGCAGCAGCAGCAGCGAGGCGGTCCCGGTAGCACCGGGGAGCCGCCGCGGGTCAGCGAGCCCGCCCCCCCGCCGGTGCCGCCGCGCCGCTCCTCCGCCAACACCTCTGCTGCCGCCGCGGTGGCGCCCGCGGTGCTGTCCGACAACGCGACGCTGAGTTACCGCTCGCTCGTGTACCGCCTCAACTTCGACCAGCCGGTGCGCAACGCCGCGCGATTCCCGGCGCGGCCCGACCTGGTGCTCGTGGTGCAGGTGCACGACCGCGCCGAGCACCTGCGGCTGCTGCTCGAGTCGCTGCGGCGGGCGGCGGGCGTGGAGAACGTGCTGCTGGTGCTCAGCCACGACCTGTGGGCCGAGGAGCTCAACCGGCTGGCGGCCCGCGTGGACTTCTGCGCCGTGCTCCAGGTGTTCTTCCCGTTCAGCATCCAGCTGTACCCGCGCGAGTTCCCGGGCCACGACCCCCGCGACTGCCCCCGCGACGTGGGCAAGGCGGCGGCGCTGCGCCTGGGCTGCATCAACGCCGAGTTCCCGGACTCGTTCGGGCACTACCGCGAGGCGCGGTTCGCGCAGACCAAGCACCACTGGTGGTGGAAGCTGCACTTCGTGTGGGAGCGCGTGCGGGCGCTGCGGGAGCACGCGGGGCCCGTGCTCTTCCTGGAGGAGGATCATTACCTGGCCCCCGACTTCTACCACGTCCTCAAGCAGCTCTGGGCCCTGCGCCAGCGCGAGTGCCCCGAGTGCCAGGTGGTGTCCCTGGGCACCTACAGCCCCGTGCGGGGCGGCTTCGCCGGCCGCGCCGACAAGGTGGAGATGAAGACGTGGAAGTCCACGGAGCACAACATGGGCATGGCCTTCGGCAGAGACACCTACCAGAAGCTCATCGAGTGCACGGACGCCTTCTGCACCTACGATGACTACAACTGGGACTGGACTCTGCAGCACTTGACTGTCTCTTGTCTTCCAAAGTTCTGGAAAGTGCTGGTTCCCGAGATCCCCAGGGTTTTTCACACGGGGGACTGTGGCATGCACCACAAGAAATCCTGCAGACCGTCCACCCAGAGTGCCAAAATCGACTCTCTCTTGAACAGCAACCAACAGTACCTGTTTCCCGAGACGATGAGCGTCAGTAAAAGGTACTCCATGGCTCCCCTGTCCCCTCACGTCAAAAACGGAGGGTGGGGAGACATCAGGGACCACGAACTCTGTAAGAGTTACCGCAGACTCCAGTGAGGATCCTTCTCTTGCAGCCTTCTTTTCTTCTTGAGTTGTCCCATCGTGTCTTTTACAGGCACGCACGTGTATAAACAGCATTTATGAGTTGGTTTCTGCTTTAATAATGAATAAACATTCTTGTTTAAAGGTGTCCCAAAATAGTAATCTCTCATGTTTGGCAACCACGTTTTGGAAATGGGTGATGTGCTGCAGCCCCTACGCAAAAAGTGACCTGCTGCTGAGTTTGCTGGGAGGAGGAGGAGGAGGAGAAGGAGGAGGAGAACACTATTAAGTGCATCTTTTTTGGTGCTGAAGCTCTGGTGGTGCCCGTGACACCGCGCCGGGGGGCCCTCGTGTGCTGTCCCACCCGGGGTCACCTCATGCCCGATCCCCGTGTCCCGGCTCGGTTTGCGATGATGTGTTGATGAAATATATGAAGGATGGAAAAAATAAATTCATTGTTTTTACTACAATGTAGATAAATATATGATTTTTTTAGTTCTGCCGAAATAAAAAGTCAGTTGTTTTGTAATCGCAGAGAAGTCCTTGATTGTCACCAAAAGGATGATGTCATCTCGTGTTCCTAAAAAGTCAGGATGGGGTGGGAGGGGAGTTTCTCCTCTTTAATCCTGAGGGCTGGGCACATGCCATGACCCCTTCTAGAAGTGTGCATTTAACTTCATTACATTTTTAATGATACTCATTAATTGAGGCAGAAAAAAAAGTAGCAGATTGGTGGCACAACGCTTCTCTTGTTTGGATTAAGAAAAATTTTTAAAAAAAAAAAAAAGGTTGTTTTCAGATTAGCCGTGTAAAACCACCAGTGAAAAGTGCTGCTGTGATCTGGGCTGATCTGGAGCTGGGAGCTCCAGAGCTGTTTGTTGTCACTCCAGCTGCTTTCGTGGCACTTGCTCTCTGAAGCACAGCTGGGAACAGGAGCATCTCGGCAGCTTTTTGTAGAACAGGGAAGTGTGTCAGAGAAACAAAATGTGTTGCTGGGGTTTTTTTTGCCAGGGTTATTTAACTACCGCAATTTTGCAATGTCCTTGCTGTGTGTTGTTTCCCTGGGTCAGGGGTGATGATGAAGCTGTGCTGGTGCCTCAGCCCTCAGAGACCTCCCCCAGAAAATGCTGAGGGGGGTTCAACTTAACCCAGCAAAGCAAAGCCCTCGCCCTCCTCCAGCGGATGTGCTGCCCTAGAGGGCAGGGCAGGTGTTTTTGGCAGCTGTGGCTTCACTGAGCTCAAAGTCACACTCACACCACACACCCCACTGCACACACTCGTGTTTCTCACAGAAATGTGACGGTAATTCCAGAGCAGCCCTGAAATGAGGCAAATTTACCTTTCCTCTCAAGCACCTCTGTGTCTCGCAGAGCTCAAACGAAAACAGAAGTTGGTTCAGCACCAGTGAGAAAGGGGAACTGGAAGTTTATTATGAGACGTGTTCTTTCGGTTATGGCACTTTAGAGAGGTGAACCAGCAACAAGCACGTGGAAACTCGAGGGAAACTGAGAATAAATCTGAATAAAGGGAATCCATCTCCCAAACTGTAAATACTTCAGAGCACACGTGCACCCAGAGGATGTTGTTACTGTGCAGTGGAATTTGTTCAGCTGGGGGACGGCTGGGTGCTGCAAAGCACTGCGCTAGGATGGAATACAGGGTGTAGATGTTGATTATTTCTAGGAGACTAATTAGAACTTCTCCGGGTAATTAGAAATTTCATTTGATTGCTAAAAATCACTGCGAGTCTAATCCTGCAGTTATCACAAAATGAAAGGTTTGAAAAATGATGAATACGGCTCAATTCCCAAGGGAGCCATTAGACCAAGGATATATACAAATAATCCCTGAAATCTGGCAAGAGAATAAAAAAGTTCTGTAAACAGTGAAGATACATTTTCTTCCAGGAGCTCAGATTCACTTCCAACTGCATCTTTCTTGTAATAAAACTACTTCAGCCTATATATGGGATTAGAAAACGGATCTATTAACGGCAAAAATTGTAACAACGTAAGGTTTTGATGTTGAAACGGTTCCAGTGGGGACCTCCGAGCCCTGAAGCCGCCCACCAGCAAGTGGAAGTCACAGTAAGCATCAAACAACAGAAGGAAATCCTAAAGCCATTAAGCTAATCCAACTCATACAGCAAGGAATTCTGAAACACGACGGGGCAGCGCGTTACGTGATCCCTGAGAACCCGCTCGCTCCCGTCCTCAAGGTTCACTTCTCGTAGGACAGGGGAGGCTGCCCTGCTGTCCAGCCCTGGGGGTGCAGCCTCCTCGTGCCCTTCCCCTGCCTCCTGCCCCCCTGGCAGAGGTTCTCCTTGTTTTCCAGAGCCCGGGGCCGTGGCTGCATCGCCTGCTGCGGCAGCGCTTTCCAAATCTGGTTCCCTTCTCCCAGATTCCCCAGGAATCGCTGAACTGGTGTCAGGAGGTCCGTGCTCCAAACAATGGTGTGAACTACAACCTACTTTTCCTATTGTTTCAGCTGTGGGAGCCGTGTTGGTTCCTGCAGCACGTTCTCCATCAGCTGCGGGACAGTTTGTTTGTGCCTTTGTTTCGGGGTAGTCACCGTTGGTCTTTCCAGCAAGGTCTCCCCCTGAGCTGCCAAGTGTTCCTGCTCCATCACGGTCCTGTGGCTGTCAAGGGAATAAATGAGTTATTTTGCAGCTGAAACAAACCACGCACACAAAACTGCTGCGAAGGCAGCACAGACACTTGTTCCTCCAACAGCTCAGCAGCTTGGACTGGTGGAATGTCCGTGGCAGAGGGGCACCACTGGATCATCTTTAATGTCCCTTCCAACCCAAACCAGCCTGTGATTCTGTGATTCTATCCCAGAGAGCCAGGTGAGCCCAGCGCTGGGGTGTTCTGCTCTCGTGTGGCGCGTGGGAATGAGTGGCAGGGAGGTTGTTGGCTTCCCGAGGGTTTCCTCTGCTCTCGGAAAAGCTGCTGGGCAGCCGCCAAGCGCCACAGCCGCCGTGGCTGCAGGATTAGGAAAGGCCTCTCACCACACCCAGCCTGTTTTCCAGATCTCAGGGGCCACAAAATCAGCCAAGGGATCTGAACTCTCATTGCAGGAGTGTGTTTGAACCTTGCAATTAGGGCAATTACCGGCCTGTGGAGCTAATCCAGGAATTGCCGTGGTTTGCCTCGGGAGAGGAGGAACCGTGAGAGGTGGTGTCAAAATGGCAGTCTTCCCCAGGTTCAACGTTACTGAGTGTTTTTGCAAGAAAACTGCTGGTAGCTCACAGGTCCCTATCAGTGGGCAGTCAGGATCAGCAGGGATCTGTCCAGGAGCAGCTGGATTCATGGATTCAAAGACAGAGCTGCTCTCCCACACATCCATCCCTCTCTGACCCCAAACCTCTGCTCACTCCAGCAAGAGACAAAAGCAACAGCAGTAAATCCTTCCATAAACTGGATGATTCTCCCACACAGACACAGAATCATGGAACACCCTGAGTTGGAAGGGACCCACAGTGCTCATTGACTCCAACTCCCAGCCCGGCACAGGACCAGGAGTGTGATGGTTTAAGATATCCCAGCTGCCTTTTCTTAGGCCCCAAAGCACAGAGATCTGCTCTCCAACACTTTGAATTTTAGATTTTTACGTACAATCCACACTAGCTGCACAAGTTAAGCCTGGCAAGTAAAGCCATTCTCTTTGAAAAACTCCTGGGGCCTCCAGCCTGGTTCCAAAGGCCATGTGCTTTATCTGGACTTGTCCAAACATGCCACCTACACATTAACTCTGTCCGCAGAGTTCATGGCCACGGCAGTGACCTGACTGTGCCTGCATCTCATGGTTCCTTTAAGAAAAGTTTAATCTGAATTTCTGATGCAGTAAATGCCAAGAAGTCGCAGTTAATGTCAGGGGGGCTCTTTGCAAAACTAACATTTTGGTTTCTTCTTCTGTCCACCTGTTTTGCAACGGGAGGACATTTGAATCCCGTGGCAGATCCCACAAATAGCCCATCTTACTTCCTCTCTCTAGACAGGGTGGCTGAGGAAGAAGAGTGGCCTGAATGAGGCCTGAAACATTACAAATGTGAATTTGAGACCAGTGTTTAAGATTAATAGCCTCATGTTTAATTATCTACACAACAGGAACCCTGCAAGTATTCAAATACTTGGACTGAATAAAGATAAGGAGACATGATTCTTCCCAGACAAAATCCTCTAGGATTTCTCTACCTGTACAAGGCTGAGAGAGTGAAGTGTTCCTGCAAGTAGAAAGCACCCTCTTTAAAGACTGGAGCACAGTTCTCCTTCTTTTCCAAGTGAAATATAGGAGGTTTCAATCACTTGCTGACGTTAAATGGCACAAACACAACTCCTGTTTCTGAAAATTGACATTTCTACTTGTAAATAACCCCACTCCCGGTTTTCCCCACTCCATGAAGACAAAAGAGGAACAGAGCCGTATCAGTGGGATTTGATAGCATCTTGCAGAAGAACATAAATCAGTCAGAGCGTGTGCTGCTCCCAGAGATCCTCACCTCCACCCTGATTTGAATTCTGTCCTCAGAGACATCCAGCACTTCAATTAATGGCTGACTTTCCAGTGCTGATTGGGAGCAAGAGGAAGGGCATAAAGCAGTGCCTAGAAATCCATCAACGTTCTCTTCAGTGACAAACAATCTTTCCTAGAGGGGGAAAAAAAAAAAAAAAAGAGAGAGAGAGAAAGAGCAGGTTATGTTCTTTTTGTGCTAAACTTTAGTGATACTCGGGCTAAAAACTCCCTGCAAAGAAAGCCAGGACAGTTCACAAGTTTCACAGCTCATTCATGCCTTGAAATCCTGGGCCAGACATTGAGTGAGGAGGTGAAATGAACGAAGAGCAGAGCTCAGCTCATGTGCATTGAAATCCCAGATCAGCATCACAGCAAACAGAACAGAAAAATGCTTCCTCTCTTTGGACACGTGATTTAGACTCTATCTGAGGGATGATCTGCACCAACATCATTCCACTGTCCTCCCCTGGCTGAACATCAGGGAGGGGTGACACTGTTATGGGTTTGTTCCATGTGCTCAGGGAAACACAAACACCTCTCTGCGGGGTGGGTGAACCCTCAGCTCCAGGATCAGATGTGGAACACGCAGGGCTGTATCCCTTTCACACCCAGCCATGTGGGCTGCTCAGATCACCACCAGACAAGGCAGTTGGAAAACAGGGAGAGGTTTCTCCAGAGGCAGAGGGACAGCCCGGAGGTGTGTCCAGGCTGTTCCTATGCAGTTCATAAACAATGTGCAACGTGTTGCTACAGGCTTAAAGGTTTAAATCAGTTGCAGGTAATTAAAGGTCCTAAAACACATCCTGGAGGGGTGGTTTCATAAGAACTGCAGAGCTTTCCCTGTGCTTGTGTTGTTCCTAAATCAGCTGTGTAAGCTGAGGATAAGGACGGACTTTGGCACAATAAAACTAGTCTGACCTAGAGGAGTGGTTTATGCTCTTGGAATTACCCTTCCTGTTTAATTGGAAGTAACAGGGAGAAGTTGCAAACCTTCCACTTAAAGTCACACT